GGCCCTTGTTGCATAGGGTGCGTGAGAGGCATACAAGGGGTCCCCTTGAAGGGCCCCTTCCTAAAGGACCATGTAACTACCCGAAGATCAAACCCCAACACAAGCCAGCTGGGTGGTCGTGTCTGCGGCGTTGGAATGTCAAAGCAAAGCCCTTGGCGTCTCCAGCAATTTGGAAGGTAGGGTTCAGGGGTCTTTAGGCTCTGCAAGGGTTTCAGGTTTGGGGTGCAGGTTCTAGGGTGTTGAGCTCGGGAACGGGGATATGGGGCCGGATTCGGGGTCTAGGTTTCAGGCCAGGCTGTTTAGGGTCTTAGTTCGCCTCAGGGCGTGTTCTTGGGTGTTTTACTTCAAGCCTTACGGCTAACCCTAAACCCTAAACCCTAAACCCTAAACCCTGGTGCGGATTTCGAGCAAGCTGGCTGTACAGGACGCATCAAGGAGCCTGCCTTGCTTGGGGCATACATGGAAGTCGTCTCAGATGCCCAATCGGATGACTCTTCGGAAGCCAATCGGCAGAACACTGAGTGTACTTTAAACCAAAAACTCCCCAAAAACCAAAACAACCCTTATGTTTGCTTTCGGTTCCTGGTCTGCCTAGTCTTGGTTTGAGAGTTTTTGGAGTTGAGGTGTAGGGTACAGAGGGCGACGCCTTCGACCCCCACACTCTAAACGTTCGAAAAATGGGGCCCTGAATGGTTCCCCTACTATGCCTACCATTGCTGCTGCTTCCACTTCTCCTTCTGCACTTCTACTTCTGCACTTCTACTTCTGCACTTCCACTTCCACTTCCACTTCCACTTCCACTTCCACTTCCACTTCCACTTCCACTTCCACTTCCACTTCCACTTCCACTTCCACTTCCACTTCCACTTTCACTTCCACTTCCACTTCCACTTCCACTTCCACTTCCACTTCCACTTCCACTTCCACTTCCTACCTACTTACCTACCTATTTGCCTACCTACCTACCGAAGGGTCTAGGATTTACAAGGATTACAAGGGTTTGCTTATCCGCACTTGTAAGAGTGCTGCATGAGAACACAGAGGATTAAAGGTTGTAAGGGCTCAATTTATCAGGGTTCATGAAAGTTCGTACGGGTGTAAAGGTATACAAGTGTGAGAGGGCTACAGGGTTTAGGCTCCAGGGCTTATGAGAGTTTAGGCGTTATAGGGTGTAGGTTTTGTAGGGTCTAGGCTTTTGTGGTTTTGAAATAGCCTAGGACTGCGCCCGTTGCAAAGGCGGCTCTATCGGAACATGCGCGCGACTTCTGTAGGAACTGCGCACGGAATTTGGGTCTTCAGGGTCGTAGTCTCATCTAGAAAAATGTAGAGGATTGCAGGACGTTGACTAGGTTAGGTTCGACCCCCCACGCCCTGAATGGTCCCAGAATGTGGAACCCGGTCCATGGTTGCCATGGTGGGTTGCTATTAATTCTTTGAGGTTCATGTGTACTTCTAACCCCAGTTCTAAGTCTACTTGTAACCTACTTAGGACTTAGGGGACTTCGGGGGATCATAAGTACAGTGACAATTCAGGTTACAAGTACCCTGAACCTCCAAGGAATAGTGGAGGGACGCTAGAACAAGCTGTTGGGATGTTCCCCAAGGACCGAGCGCGAATTGCTGTTTTGGTGTGTCTTGCAGATTTCGGGAGTTAGGGTTTGCGGGGTTTTGAGGGCCAGCTGACCCTGACGAAGTCCCCAACAGTCGGGCACTCAGACAGAAGGAGGCCTGTGGGCGCGGTCCCTAAACCCTAAACCCTAAGCCCTAAACCCTAAGCCCTAAACCCTAAACCCTAAACCGAGTTAGTGATGATGCAAGGTTCAGATAGCCTAGGAGTCGACCTCCCCCCCCCCCCCCCCCCAGGGTCCCAGCATTTAAGAACTTGAACACATCGCGATGGGGATCCCAAGCAAGCTTCTTTAAGAAGATACCTGAATAAACCATAGCTCTCCCCTGAAGCAAAAAAGGGCCTTAAACCCCAAACCCTAAACCCTAAACCCTATAAATCCTAAACCCTAAGCCCTGGAAGGAGTTGACTTAAGGGTGGCTAAACCCTTTAACTCCTAAACCCTAAACCCTCAAAGGAGTTGATCTAAGGGTGGAGACCCTTGAGCTGGCAGTTCACACTGTGACAAAGGGGGGGGTGAAGCGTCTCCTTGCACACAAGTAGGTTTAGGGTTTAGGGTTTAGGGTTTGGGGTTTGGGGCTTAGGGGTTTAGATCCCTGAAAGCCCGAAACCTCTGAACTCCCTAAGGCCTAAGTCCCTAAGCCCGAAGCCCCTGAAGCTTGTAGGGTCTAGGGTTTTGGGGGGGGCCCAGGGCTTGGGGTCCTTTCCAGTAGACCGTGGAGTTTGAGCTTTTCGAATCTCAGCTCGTTCCCCCCCCCCCTCGGGCGAATCTCTTCAGTAGGTGCTGCACGGCGAAAGCGAGCAGTGGTCAAAGTCTAGAGACCCATGGACAGTGGGCGAAACGGTGCCAAAAGCGACACCCTTGAGGCTCCCGAAGCCCTGCGAACCCTGCAAACCCTCCAAGGCCTGTCCGAGCCCTTTCAAGCACGATAGGGGGGGGGGGGGGGTATGGAACTGGGGGACCCCCCAAGATTGTCCCCAAAATAGTACCCGTACTATCGTCAGCAACAACCCCATGAGTTTTTTAAATGTTTCAACCCTCTCAAGCCCTAAGCCAAAACCGATTTTGGGAAATGTATATATATATATATATATTACATGTATATGTATCCGCCTAAGGGTAGAACCATGGGCCCAGTATGGGCCCTTAGCATGGTCCCTTACCCTTCCCTATAGGGATCCGAAGTACGGACGCTTTTTGCGTATAGTGTATGTAAGGGTTGCGTATATATATATATATGTATATATATATATGTATATATATGTATATATATATATATATGTATATATATATGTATATATATATATATATATGTATATATATATATATATATATATCGAACATGTACAAGTCTTTAGGGCCAGGGTTTAGGCGCATCGGGCTTACAGGGCTTAGAGGGTTCATGAGGTTTATTCAATTTGAACGGTTTTCAGGCTACAGGGCTTACAGGGTTCAGGGTTGGGAGCCTGTGGCACAGGCTTGTCTTGTAGGTTTCGGCCCTGGGCGTACGCTGAGAGAGTTTTGGGTTTGAAGAAACTCCCAAACTCCCAAACCCCAAACCCTAAACCCCTAAGCCTAAACCCTAAACCGTAAACCCTAAACCCGCCGTTGGTTGGCTCACAAGCTCATGCCAAGCTGCCGTTTGCAGCACCTTCGAAGGCAAGGGGTTTGTGGCCCCCTCGCCCCCCCCCCCCCCCCATACTAAACTTTGTGGTGCTTTACTGTAACTTCACATCTTTAGCCTTTTTGGGTTTATTGGGTTTCTTAATAAGGCAGCTAAAAGTTTGAATTTTTTGCTACCCTCCTAAGTGCAGCCAAGTAAATATTGTTACCCCCACCCGTCCCACCACATCCCTAGAGTCCTAGATTTACATACAGTCCATTCCCATGCAGGTGTGTCCAAACATGAAATTATTTTACATGTGCATGAGAATCCTAAACCCTAAGCCCTAAACCCTAAACCCTAAACCCTAAACCTACTTCTAGGTACCCATGAACCTCCGAGTAGGATACTGGGGAGGTTCGTGGGATGCGGGGCGAGCGGCTCTTCAGGGGTGGGTGTCTTGGTTGGTGCGGTTGTCGGATGTCGAGTGCAAGACTTTTTTAACTGCATGTCTTTCCAGGAACTTAACTATTGTATCCTCCAGAGTTTGAAGTAACGCATTTGTGAGGTCCCACGACATAAGGGGCATACCGTAAACCTGAAACCCTCAACTCCAGACGCTTTGCGGCTAAACCCTGAACCCTAAAGCAAGTCCTACGAGGTTCCCGGAGCAGAAGCCATAGGGGTTTCCGTGATGCTGCGCGGCCCCGGGTTGGCAGATAATATAGCCCTATGCTTCCAGAGACCTACCTAAGAGGGTCGAGGGTTCCCTGCTGAGGGTGTAACCAAGATATGAAGTTACTAGGCCCCCACAGGGTACGTAGAGTTCATGAGGTTCATGAAGCTTTGTGACTTCTTGTTGGATTCGCATTGCGTCTTCTAAGGTGGGCTTTTGGAACTCTCCAAGTTCGGCATCCCCTTCCACAATTCGACCCCTACCCCCCTCTTTTAGTTTAAGGGTTTAGGGTTTATAGGGTTTGGATGGGGGGGTTTAAAATCGGGGGCCCTAAGCCGTGAAACTTACACCCGTTGCAGGCTGGAACCATGGACGACGAGAAAGCGGAGGCCAAAAAGGCACCCAATCACTGTTGTTCAGGGTTTTGGGTTAACTACGGTTTAGGGTTTAGGGTTTAGGGTTTAGGGTTTAGGGTTTAGGGTTTGCTACTTGGGTTTAGGGCCTCGGGTTTATCGGGTCTGGCACGCCTGTTCCGCAGCAGCCGCTGTCAACACACTGCGCATTGAGTGCCCACTGGAGTGGGGCAAGCGAGACCCCCTAAATCCCTAAACCCCTTAACCCTAACCCCTAAACCCCGAACCCCTACATAAACCCTAAACCTTCGACCCCTAACCCCGAAACCCCCAAATCCCTGAACCCCTGAGCCCGAAAACCCGAAACCCCAAAGCCAAGGCACCAGAGTCCACTGGAGTACAGCCTTCGCCGATCCAGTATCACTAACGGGTTTAGGATTTAGGGTTTAGGGTTTAGGCTTTAGGGTTTAGGGTTTAGGGTTTAGGGTTTAGGGAAGATTTCCTAATCGTGTTCCCTTCAGGTCCCTTCATAGTTATACGCACTATACTAACCTCCGAAACCCTTTTCTGATCTTGCAGGCCCCTACATTCAGGTCCTTAAACCCTAACCCTAAACCCTAAACCCTAAACCCTAAACCCTAAACCCTAAACCCTAAGCCCTCTGATAGCTGGCTCAGGAGTAGCAGAGGAAGGCTAAGGGGAGATTTCGGGCTCTGCTAGGGTGGTGGCTTGCTGCTCCCATGGCTTGCGAGTGCTTCTGCGGCATAGTGAAGACCCTTTTGGCGGTGGATCTTCGGATTGCGCTGGGCCTCAAGAAGCAGACGTATCCGCTCAACGAACCTGAGAGCTGTTCTCAGTACCTCTTTCGCATGCTGTTTTTTTTTTTTTTTTTTTTTTTTTTTTTTTTTTTTTTTTTTTTTTTTTTTTTTTTTTCTGCCTTAGGGTAGCCCAGTAGCACCCATGTTTTGGTTCTGGGTTCCCTCATAGCGTTTTGCATGTCGTTGTATTGCATGCTTGTTTTTTTGATCACTTATGAATGTAATGAGGATGGACTAACTAAACGGGAAGACGAGGAATGGGCTGAGCAGTACCACGAGGATGCAGTGGATCCGGAGATTGAAATCCTGGACGCGCACCATCATCTGTTCGACTTCTTGAACCACGACAAGGGGCTGCCCGCACCAAAATTTATCAGAAGCTTAGGGGTACATGGAAACGTTTGTTTTTTTTTTAATGTTTTTTTAAAAAAACATTGTTTCGGTACTACAATTCCCAAGAAATAGCCACAATTATGCTGTTTGCTAGGCTTCCAAAGTTCAGCAAAGGAAAGCTCTGGTACATGCAGGATGGGCTGCATTTCACCCGTGCGATTGGCGCCCAGATGCCCAGCCTGCCACACTCCTTCGGATGGCGGCTGCCGATGTTTCCCCCCTACATGGGGGAAGACCTGATGAAAGACATCAAGGGGAACGGCAAGGGCCACAAGGCCGGGTTCGGGATGACTGTCTGTACAGACCCTGAACCCATAAACCCCGTAGACCCTGAACTGCCAGAGGGGCTCTGGTGGGTACCCCTACAGGGTGGGGCCCCCTAGTTATAAGTAGAGTTATAAGGGCCCTAAATTGGGTTATAAGGACCCTAAGCTAGGTTATAAGTCCCTTAACTACAGTTAGTATAGTAAGGGGGCCCCACCCTGTAACTCCATGTGTGGATCATAGGCCGTTTGTTTTTGATGCTCCATGCGAGAATGGGATGGGGGGCACCCGTTGTTGGGGTCCGTATCAACCCTAAACCCCAAACCCGTTGTAGGGGTTCCTATAATCAGTGTTACTACTGTGGGATAGATCTGGGGCGGGATCTGGGAAAGGGTCCGTAAGGCTCAGGTTCGGAATGGAGAGTACCTCAGGCCCCATCGTTTCAATTCAACCTTCGTTTTGAGGTTTTAGAGTGTAAGGGAACTCGTAGAGTTTAGCTGGCACCAAAAGATGTCTTATTGCTGAGTGGTAAGGTCGTCGCTGCACTCCCCCCCCACCCCCCCACCCCCCCCGCCCTGCAAAAGAACCCTCAACCCTAAACCCTAAACCCTAAACCCTAAACCCTAAACCCCAAACCCTAAACCCTAAACACCCCCAAAAGGTCGTTGGTACCATCTACATGGAGTGCGGCTGGAAGACACCCGGCGTCGAGCCGTGCATGGAAGCGGTAGCTGAGGCGCGATTCCCTGGGTTGGGGTTTGGGGCTTAGGGCTTAGGGTTTAGGGTTTAGGGTTTAGGGTTTAGGGTTTAGGGTTTAGGGTTTAGGGTTTAGGGTTTAGGGTTTAGGGCCCTAAACCCTATAATAAGCCTAAAACTTCCAAGCCCTAAACCCTAAACCCTTGCTGGAGTGATACCCCTAAACCCCATCGAACTCTTCAGCTCCTAAACCCCTAACCCTAAACCCTAAACCCCTAACCCTAAACCCTAAACCCTAAACCCTAAACCCCATAAACCCCGGTGTTTCGGCTGCTTCTTTTGCAGCCTGTCAGCCCCTCTCCTCCATCCCACTCCCTGAGGGTCTAGGGTTTAGGGTTTAGGGTTGAGGGTTTAGGGTTTAGGGTTTAGGGTTTAGGGTTTAGGGTTGTGTAGGGGTTGTAGGCCTTAGGGTGTCTGTAGAGCTCAGGGAGGTGAGGGCTTAGGGCTTGGGGGGTTTTTGGGGGGCCTGGCAAGGGGAATGGAAAAAGATAGCTCAGGGAGCTGTAGGGCTTGAGGGGTTTTAGGGCTTCTTGGCTTCAAGATTTGTGTGGTATCAGAGGCGTACTGTGTGTGAGGGATGTCGGGGTGTAGTGCGCGAGGGCTTTAGGCGTTTACGGCTCTTGGGGTGAAGGGAGTCAGGGTTTCGAGACAGCAAGAATCCTGACTTGGCCCTCGAAGCTTTCGCAGACAAATGGCTGTTAAGGGGTTTCTTGAAGACCTCGTAAGCCTAGGCCGCACAGTATTGTGAAATCGTTGTTCTTGCTTTGTGTTCGCTTGAGTTTGAGGAGTTGATCATGATCAGGATCCACAGAATCGGTGGAGAACGGACATGTTCAAGAGGAGGTTCTACAACTCCTGTGAGTCATGGAACCCTAAACCCTAGACCCTAAACCCTAAACCCCAAACCCTCAGCCCTGAACCCTAAACTCCAAACCCTTCAACCCGAATCGCTGGGCCACGGGCGGACAGGCCGACATGGTGACGGAGGTCCATGCGAAGTACCCGCTGCTCTGCGGCGGACTCCTGTCGCTGACTATCCCAATTCAATTTAGGGTCTACAGGGTGGGGCCCCCTTGTTATAAGTAGAGTTATAAGGGCCCTAAATTGGGTTATAAGGACCCTAAGTTAGGTTATAAGTCCCGTAACTACAGTTAGTATAGTAAGGGGGCCCCACCCTGTAGGAGTTCAGAGTCATAGGGTGCCCTCTAATCTAAGGGTAGTTGTGTGGGCCCTAACTAAGGTCCCCTACCTCCATGCCCTTGGGTTCTATAGGGTATCTATAGGGGTCCCCTGTTAATGGCCCATACTAAGGGACCATGTAGCTTCCCTAGGGTAAAAACTGTTGCCGAGTGTTTTCTCTGGGGTGAAACTTTGGGGATGCTGGAGATTCATTAAGTACGCTCGGTCCTCTTGATGCTCGTGAAGGACTTGGTTTAGGGTTTAGGGTTTAGGGTTTAGGGTTTAGGGTTTAGGGTTTAGGGTTATTGTTTAGGGTTTAGGGTTCTTGGAGCGGCTTCGTGGTGTGCTTTACATGTTCGCTTCTTGCTCGGACAGCTCTTCGGAGACGCCAGGGATGCTGGAGGTAGGAACCCTACTTCACAGCGACCCTGCAATTCACGAGAGCACCTACAGAGTAACCCTAAACCCTAAACCCTAAACCCTAAACCCTAAACCCTAAACCCTAAACCCTAAACCCTAAACCCTAAACCCTAAACCCTAAACCCTAAACCCTAAACCCTAAACCCTAAACCTTACAGGTTCGGGGTTCAGGGCTTCAGGGCAACGAGCGAACCATAAACCCGAACACTTCCATGACAGTCGGACCCTACACCCGAGCCCCTCTTGCCCCAAAGCGCTATAAGCCCTAAAACCCTATAAGCCCTAAAACCCTTAAACCCTTGAAAGTTGGGGTTTAGGTTTTAGGGTTTAGAGTAGTCCTTCGTCTCTCCCTGGACGTGCCCGGCGGAGGAATTGTCGCCTTCGTCGACTTGCGCCTGGGGAAGGATGTTGAGCCAGCATTGAAGCTTGATACATGCATTGGGATTCGTGTAGGGTTTAGGGTTTAGGGTTTAGGGTTTCGGGTTTAGGGTTTAGGGCCTAGGGTTTCGAGTTTAGGGTTTAGGGTTTGGAGTTCAGGGTGCCGGGAGGGCGCTGGGGTGTTCGGGCCCTCCGGGTTACAGTAGGGGTCATTAAAGGTACCATTTATGGAGGTGTCGCAGTTCGGGGGTGCTTAGGTGTAGTAGCATGTCGAGTGTGACTGAGTGAGTGGGTGAGTGTGTGTGTGTGTGTGTGTGCGTGTTGCGGTTTAGTGGCTTTAAAGGGTCTAGGCTAGGGCTGTTCGTTCCAAGGGTGTTGTGTGGGCTCAGCCAACTTTTGGGGAAGGGAACGGCTCAACATTAAACTGCATTTCGACATTAAACTGCATTTGCTTCGGGCAGAATTCACGTCGTGTCTCTGCTTGCTTCTTTTCATGGGCACTAAAGGAACCCATCTGCCGATGCTCCATCCCCTCTAATTCCTAAGCCCTAAACCCTATTCTACTTTTTCCTTGAGAACAGCAAAAAGTAGAAGATAATAATCGCTATATTATCCCTATCAGGAAGTTTGTTTTTTCTTGGTGGTGGGGGGGGGGTTCTTAAGCAAATAGTAGCATCTAAGCCCTAAACCCTAAGCCCTAAACCCCTGAACCCCTGAACCCCTAAACCCCTAAACCCCTAAACCCTAAACCTTGTGTTATCTCGAAGCCCAGGATTCACTACAAGAAGAACCCGCTCGTGAAAGGCGACCTGGGCGTGTTTGCCTGGGTCACGAAAGTCCGCCCCAAAGATTGAGGCTTTCCCGAACCCCAAAGACCCAAAACCCCAAAACCCCAAAACCCCAAAACCCCACCCAAAATTCTAAAAAACCCAAAACCTCCCACAAAAACTCCAAACCCTAAAACCCCATGCCCCCACATAACCCTCGTTTGGCCGTGAGAGTTTAGGGCTTAGGTGCCCATTAGCCATTAGGGTTTCGGGTTTGGGGTTTAAGGTTTGGAGTTCAAGCAGCACTCTGAACCCTAAACCCTAAACCCTAAACCCTAGACCCTAGACCCTAAACCCTAAACCCTAGCTTGATGTCTATCTATGGACACTTCGAAGCCATCTTCCACCACGTGTGCGTGGCGGCCCAGGTATTCGGCATGGCCTGGCGTACACAGGCCACCCGCTGATTGCCGATGCGGGTCACTGCGATGCGAGACTTTCCTTGTTTGGTCTTGGTTTTGGTATTTAGGGTTTAGGGTTTAGGGTTTAGGGTTGAGTGTTTAGGGTTTAGGGCTTAGGGTTTAGGGTTTAGGGTTTAGGGTTAGGGATGTTCCCGTCTTATACTAGCAGTCCTTAGTAGGGATTATGGTACCCCCGATAATAATCCCTATTAAGGACTGTTAGTATAAGGTTGAACATCCCAAGCTGTTTGTATAAAGGGAATCCATGCAAGAAAGAACCTACAAACTCTACCCTGGAACAAGGTCCCGTGCCAAAACCCCAGCAAGACCACCAGAAGACCCCAAAAGGAGTGGAGCCCCCAAAACCTTCAACCCGCCCAAACCCTACACCTTAACCCGAAAACCCTGAACCCTAAACCCTAAACCCTGAACCCTAAACCCTACTGCTTGCCCCAAAATGGGGGGGGGGGGGGGGGGGGGAGACTAAGGACTACTCTAAACCCTCAACCCTAAACCCTAAGCCCTAAACCCTAAACCCTAAACCCCTGAACCCTAAACCCTAAACCCTAAACCCTAAACCCCTGAACCCTAAACCCTACTGCTTGTGGCCAAACCCCCCTAAACCAAAAGGCCCCTGCAAGCGACCGCAGGCTTCCGCCCCTCCCCCTCTGGTTGGGTGTTTAGAGTTTAGGGGTTTAGGGTTTAGGGTTTAGGGTTTAGGGTTTAGGGTTTAGGGTTTAGGGTTTAGGGATATAGGGCTTAGGGTTTTGCATTCTTGTTAGGCAAATTGCGAATATCGTGCCTTCGCATGAGGCCCCTGGACCCTAAACCCTCGGTCCCGTGTTTCGTTTCCCCAGGAACACCGCTTATGACCCAAAGTTTCGTGAAGGCTTCGCCCTCCTTGCGAAGTGCCCTGATGCTGTGAGGGTTTAGGGTTTAGGTCTGAGGCTTCAAATTTTAAGAGGGACGAAGGGCTTTAGGGCCATTGCGCGTTAAAATGGCGACACTACAACAAACTCGGTTTAGCCCAGGTCTTAAGGGCTTCCAAGAAGTCGGCTCAGGGGCTAGCCCCCCCCCCCCCCCCCCAAACCCGAAGCCCTAAGCCCAACCTAAAGCTTCCTAAGCCCTCAACCACAAACATCCGAACCCCTAAACCCTAAACCCTAAACCCCGAAACCCTAAACCTTAAACCCGAAACCCCAAACCCAAAACCCCAAACCCAACCCAAAGCCCCGAACACTGGACCCCCGATTCAGAAGAGCAAGACCAACCCCAAACCCCGCAGTTGTCCCTAAACTACCATTTGCTGGAGAACCCCCCCCCCCCCCCCCCCCAACAAAAACGACAAAAAAAGTTCTTCCTGATAAAGTGCATTTTGTGGGGATGATTATCTTGCAATTGTTTAGGGGTTCTTGGGCAAATGCTCGTAATGGGGTTAGGGCGTAGGGCTTCCCAGAACCCGAAACACGAAACGCTAGGGCTTGCTGAGCCCTAAATGCTCATCCTTGGACCCGACACAGGCAACCTTGGGGGAGGGTTGTCTGTAGTAGGTTAAGAAGCTTAGGGTTCGATGTTCCGGGTTGGTTTTCGGGTTTTAGGGTTTAGCGTTAAGGGGCGCCCTACACCGCTGGTGTACCCCAGGTCGGCCCTAAACTGGTTTGGGGTTTAGGGTTTAGGGTTTGGGGTTTAGGGTTTAGGGTTTAGGGTTTAGGGTGTGGGGTTTAGGGCTCCGCGTTTAGGGGTGAAATCTGTACTCGCGGCTCGCCCGGAAGGTACGGCTTCGTCTTCGACAGCCCCCGCGCCGCAGTTGGGAACCCTGAGCCCGGAGCACTAGTACCTCAAGGAAGGCCTGAAGTCCCTAAACCTTACATGGAGATTCATTCTGGTACTTCAAAGTAGGGTCATAAGTGGGGTAGCTATAGGGTTAGAACCTCATCTAGCGGGTACTGAGAACCCTACTTCTAAGTACCCAAATGAACCTTCAAGTAAGCCTTGGACCCGAAACCCCAAACCCTGAACCCTAAACTCCAAACCCCAAACTCTCAACCCCAAGCCCTAAACCCTAAACCCCAACTCCAAACCCTAACCCCTAACCCCTAACCCCTAAACCCTAAACCCTAAACCCTAAACCCCAAACCCCAAACCCCAAACCCCAAACCCCAACACCAGCGCAACCCAGGTTGGCTCTTTCACCCTCAGATAGCTCCACTGGCAGACCTGGCAGAGGCCTTCCCAGAGACTTGGCAAAGGGGGTTTAGGGTTTAGGGTTTTAGGGTTTAAGGGTTTTAGGGTTTTAGGGTTTTAGGGTTCGAGTTTAGGGTTTAGGGTTCCATGGTTTGGGGTTTAGGGTTTCTGTACGGGGTTAAACATTTCCGTATATTTCCGTATGGGTGTTCAACGGTTTTCTAGAGTTCTTTCAAGGCTTCCAGAAGGGTTTCGGATTCAGGGTTTGGGTTTGGGAGGTTGATGGCTGATTTCAGGTTCATTGTTTAGGTTTGTAGGGCTTGGGGCTTAGGGCTTGGGGCTTCGGGCTAAGGGCTTAGGGCTTAGGGCTTCGGACTTCGGACTTCGGACTTAGGGCTTAAGGCTTAGGGCTTGGGACGCTTTGTATTTTCCCTTGGTTTCCCCTTATGTAAGATGTCCAGTCTACAAATATAAAACCACGTTTTGGCGTAAAGTCTGATGGTCGTTCGCAAACACGTCTACACGGTTTTCCGGAAAAAATTGCATTTTCTCATTTTTTGAAGCTTAGGTTTTTTTGGTGGTTTTCGGCTGCATCATCGTTTGTGAAGATTTGCGGCCGCGGTCTTGTATGTTGTAGAATCAAGCAAAACGCTGCAAATAGCACTGTTTGCGGCATGTTCGTAAACGGCATGAATAGGTGTGACTGCACGTCTGGTTGCGGAAACATCAAGCTTACTCTTGCAGTAAGTTTCTATACAAGGCAAGCATGCTGAACATTCCAGTGTTGTGAGCATGTTCGCAGAAGGTTTGTGACACCGCGTCGTGTTCCAGAAACGTTAAACATCCTGGTGCAGCATGTTGGCTAGAGGAGCCAAAACGCTGTAAATACCGGTGTTTTGGGCACGGTTGCAGGAACATGGTCGTGACCCACCCCCCTCTCCCCCCCCCCCAAGATCTGCGAAGAACCTCAAGCACCTGAAAAAAGCAAAGGCCGCGGGTCAATTGGTAGCACGTTAACTTAAACAAGTACCAGCATCATCCCCCTAAATAGCCCTGCGAAGGCTGTAAACGGTGCGTGGCAACGCAGAGTCAAACAAACAAGGTCAGGGTTTAAAGGGTCCCGGATCCCCTGATCAGGGTTTAGGGTTTAGGGTTTAGGGTTTAGGGTTAGGGTTCATTCAGGACACCACAATTGTCTGCGACCACATGGGCTACCCGCTGGGACTGAATGAGTGGCTGGACTGCACCTAAAATTCAAAAAGCTGCTTACGAGTGTGTCCAGGGATACAAGTAGGATTTCCAAAGAAGGGAACCTCCTTCTATACCTAAACAATCTATATCCCCCTTGGGGAATTCTTTTTTTGTTGTTCATATAAACCCAAAGAGGATATTTAAAATATTATGTTTATTAAGGTTCTAAGAAAAGTATAGAAGATAAGGTATTACTTAGTATAGGAAGCCCCAACACCGCGGCCCAACTTTGGGAGACCCCCAGACAAAGGGGTATGAGGGATGCATGGAAGAAACAGCCCGCAGAAAGATGTCCTAGCCTGGGGGAAGCGGGGAGGGGCCCTTACACCAGGATGCCCAGTAGTACCCTTATTCCCTTTTTGGGGGGGTTTAGGTTCCCTTATAACCCCTTTAGGCAAAAAAGGGCACCCTTTTTAAGCCCAGGTTACTGGGCAGCCTAGTACATCATCCCCTTACAGCCACTCCCAATGCGAGTGTACGTCGGCTTGGTTTTAGGGCTCTTTCTGTTTGTGAAGGGATTAAGGGTTCAAGGGCCCCCAAGTGTTTATTCGAGCGGTGCCGGGTTCAGGGCCTGTTTTCCTAAGCCCTAAACTAGGCAGGCCCTTGGCACAGCGTATGTATTCCCTTAGTGGGTTTCGAGGATCATATTCAGGAGTATCTTTCAGAGGGGCTCTAAGGGGCCATCCTAGAAAAGGGTGTCACCTAAACCCGAAACCCGAAACCCTAAACCCTAAACCCTAAACCCTAAAAAGCCCTGAGCCCTCAGCCCTGAGCCCTCAGCCGAGGTGGAAGATTGAGGAGGTCTTTCCCGAATGGAAGGCGCTGATGGTGCGCCTTGCGAAGTGCCCGAAGCCCGGCAAAGAGTGGGGTTCCGAACCCCTCAACCCCTAAACCCTAAACCCTAAGCCCTAAACCCCTAAACCCCTAAACCCTAAACCCTAAACCAGGGTGAGGTGGGGACTTTCATGTATAGGCTCCGTTTGACATCAGGACCTCGTTTTGAGGACTTTTTCTATCCGGGGATGCTACCTCTAAGACCCTAAACCCTAAACTCTAAACCCTAAACCCTAAACCCAGCAGAAGTGGTCCCTTGGTTTTGGGGGATTCTGTTTCCCGCGGGCGTGGGCGACTTGCATGCAGGAGCTGTTGGCTTTGCTGCTGAGTAGGTGGGTTTAGGGTTTAGGGTTAGGGTTTAGGGTTTAGGGTTTAGGGTTTAGGGTTTAGGGTGTAGGGTTTAGGGTTTAGGGTTTAGGGTTTAGGGTTTAAGGTCCTTCTGGGCACTTCGCTGTGCCACAGAGCGCGCTTGAACCTTTGGGGGGGGGGGGGGGGGGGGGGGGGGGGGGGGGGGGGGGGGGGGTGGTTTGGGGGGGGGGGGGGGGGGGGGGGGGGGGGGGGGGGGGCATGTATAATCCTGCCATCCTTGAGAAAGGTTAATCTTTTTGTGGACCAGGGTACTCAGCAACTAGGTTGAGAAACTGGGCTGAGGTAGCCGATGCTGCATGCTATGGGGGTTTGGGGGGGGGGGGGGCGGGGCGGAGGGCCGGTGGTGGTGGAGGTGTTCAAATCAAACGAAGGACTGCCCCCTTGACATTAGGAAAAGCCCGTCAGGGGCTTGGCTTGGGTAAACACCCCCCACGAGGAGGCAACCCTAATTCTGTTCGTTTCACTGCATAACGAGGAAGAGTTCGACGCATTGAGAAGGTTTACATTTCAGCAACCGGCATCATTGCCCGAATGCCATGCAGAGCGATAAGGAACAATCTGACGCGACGTTGGGACTCCTGACCCGAATCTCCTTGGCATGAACTTGACTGTTAGCTACTAGAATCCCTACTCACCAAGAGCAAGTAAAGTCGACAAGAAGAACCGAAGGGGTCTTGGCCACAGATCTGACGATGGGATGGGTTGGGTTGTGTGGCTGCGATGGCGACTGGTTGGCGCCCTCCCCAAGCCCGAACCGCTAAGCCCTTCCCTAAACCCTAAACCCTAAACCCGAAACCCTAAACCCTGAAGAAGCTTGAAGGTGAAGGGCTCTTCTTCATCAGTCTCCTTGCCTTCGCTAAGCCCTAAACCGTACCCCAAAAAGGGGACCTAAAGTTAGAGACCTACACCTTGGGATGTTCCCCCATATACTCACAGACTACCACCTATGTACTATACTCCCTATTAAGGACTGCTAGTATCAGGGGGAACATCCCAACCTATCTGCCCTAAACTGAAAAATCAACTCGATGATGCTCGAGGAATGTGATGGTCAAGATCGGTGGTTTTGGCATGCGCTGGCCAAATTTCGGCTTCGATGAGCGGCCTCCTGGCGACAGTTTTTGCGGTTTTGGCTCTTGGGTTTCTAACGTCCCGTTGCATGTGGCACAGAACTTCCGTTGCAGAACTTGGAGAATGCAAACCCCCCAACATCCGCCCATCCGCTCCCCCCCCCCCCCCCCCCCCCCGAAAACCAAGCAAGAAGTGACAGTGACAAGAATAAAGAAGCCTGAACCCTCAACTAAGCCCTAAACCCCAAGCCCCAAACCCTAAACCCCAAACCCCAAGGCCGAAACAACTTTTCATCAGCCGCATATGTTTAGGGTTGAGGGTTTAGGGTTCAGGGGTTAGCGGTTAGCGGTTAGGGTTTAGGGGTTAGGGGTGGGGGGTGGGGAGGGTTTAGGCTTTGGGGCAGAGCTGTGTCTGGGGATCGTTCTTTCATGTCTTTCTCTATAAGAATAGCACCAACTTACACAACTTACAAATCTTACGGGCAAGGATTGGGAAGTCCTCTACCCCCGCACGCTCACCCCCCAAACTTTCAAACTGCCATAGTCAGCCGCACTTCTAACTGCACCCCCCGCCCTCCCCCCCCTATTCAGCCGCGAGTTTGGGGCTTGAAATCCCGAACCACCTTAAACCCCGCAGTTTTTGGGACTTATGGTGTCTCAACCCGTAAGTTGAGATGTTCCCCCCCCCCCTATACAGACAGTCCGTAACAGGGATTATAATAGGGGTTCTAAAATCCCTATATTGAGGACTGCCAGAAGAAGGGGGAACATCCCAACCCGCAAGCCCTGAAGCTCATGGGGTTCTGCCTTGGACCCCTGAGGTGGTACGCTTGGGGTTTAGGGTTTAGGGTTTAGGGTTTAGGGTTTAGGGTTTAGGGTTTAGGGTTTAGGGTTTAGGGTTTAGGGTTTAGGGTTTAGTTTGGGGACCCTGTTCTAACGATCCTCCTAAGGGAATAGAAGGGCCATATAGGGGTCCGAGTCTGATTCCCTTGATGAATCCTAAACTCTAAGCCCCAAACCCTAAACCCTAAACCCTAAACCCCAAGAGAGGCTACCTACATGAAGGGAAGCCTCTTGGGGGTACAAGCTTAGGGGTACGAGTCCCCGTCCCCATCCCTGAACCCTGAACCCTGAACCCTAAACCCTTGTGAAAACCCTAAACCCTAAACCCTAAACCCTAAACTCTAAACCCGAAACCCGAAACCCGAAACCCGAAACCCGAAACCCTAAACCCTAAACCCTTAACCCTAAACCCTAAACCCTACCTTAAACCCCAAACACCTCCAAGGCCCACACCGGCCAGCAGCGATGAGATAGCCGCTGCCTGGAAGCCTTACGTCCTCCACACCCTGGAGGTGGGAGGGAGGGTTGGGTTTAGGGTTTAGGGTTTAGGGTTTAGGGGTTCAGGGTTTAGGGTTTAGGGTTTGGGTTTTGGGGTTCAGGGTTTAGGGTTTTAGGGTTTTAGGGTTTAGGGTTAGGGTTAGGGTTTTAAGGTTTAGGGTTTAGGGTTAGGGTTTAGGTTTTAGGGTTTAGGGTGTATGGTTTGGGGTTTAGGGTTCAGGGTTCAGGGAGGTGGGCCTGCGTGCCGTTTAGAGTTTAGAGTTTGGGGTTTAATCAGGTGCCTAAACCCTATAAACCCTGACCCGAAACCTTGAACCTTAAACCACATTTGGGGTTTAATTCAGGGTTTGGGTGCAGGAATAGCAGTGTATCGGGATATGCAATGCATTGTTGAGACCTGATTGTTGATGGCCCGCTACTTTTTACTTTGCAAATGGCCTCAAGTAAATCAGACCTCCCCAAACCCCTAAACCCGAAACGCCTAACTCTAGTCTAAACCCAAAATCCCTAAACCCCAAACCCCTACACCCCAAACCCTAAAGCCCTAAACTCCTAAGCTCTAGACCCAAAACCCTCAACCCCAAAACCCTAAACCCTAAACCCTAGATCAGCACTAAAGCCCTCCTTGCGAGGTCTTTGGGGTGGACCGATGCATGATGGAGTCCAACTTTCCTATGGACCCTCTTCTCGGGCTTTAAGGTACAGGGTTTAGGGTTTAGGGTGTAGGGTTTAGGGTTTAGGGTTTAGGGTAAACCCGAAACCCTAAACCCTAAACCCTAAACCCTAAACCCTAAACCCTAAACCCTAAACCCCTCCTTTGAAAGGGATGGACCGTGAAGTACGAGTCTCGAAGAGGGGAGTCCTTAGTCGAACGGCATCTTCCTTGTGATCACTGTTGGGGTAGGTATTGTGACCCTAAACCCTAAACCCTAAACCCTAAACCCTAAACCCTAAACCCTAAACCCTAAACCCTAAACCCTAAGGCTTAGGACTTAGGGGATTTACAGGGGTGCAGGGCTCGTCGGGTGTATAGGGATTGTAGCATGAGGGTTGATAGGGCTTGTTGGGTGTAATGGCGTTTTTGAGACTTAGGTTGCCGATTTAGGGGTTTGCTAAGGGATATAAGGAGGGACCTCTAGAAGGGGCTGCTAATCTCATGCCATATCTACCGTACACAGTCCCTAGAACCTAAGTAGCCCCTACAATACCCCTAAGGTCCCTTGGAAAGATCCCGCTGTAGTGGCTTGAGGTTTGTGAGGGTTGTTGAAGGGTGGTTTAGGGTTTAGGGTTTAGGGTTTAGGGTTTAGGGTTTAGGGTTTAGGGTTTAGGGTTTAGGGTCTATGGACGTTACATTGCTTGCAAGATGTATAGAAATACTTATGGGCTTCGGAGTGGAGACAACATTCGAAAGGGCTGAGGGTGTAGGGGTTTAGGGTTTAGAGTCTAGGGTTTAGGGCGGGGAGCCTACTCTACACCCCAAGCCGACATAGACCCCTGAAGCCTTTCACCCTGCCTAAGAAAAGCCCTGGGCAGGTGAGGTGCGGTTTAAGCTGATTGAGGTTGGGGCCAAAATCTCTGGGTTTAGGGTAGCCTCATGAACCCTTCGACCCGCAGGGTTTAGGGCTTTCGAGGTTCAGGGCTTCTAGCCCTAAACCCTAAACCCTAAATCCCAAACCCTAGACCCTAAACCCTCAACCACTCGGGGCAGGACAAGATCTCTTGCAACTACACGGTGTGCTTCAACGCGCTCAAGAAGCCTAGCTCCGCATAGGTTCCGGTTTGATGGTGTAGGACTTCGGGTTGAAGATGTTTGGGGTTCAGGGTTTTGGAGGGAGGGAGGGGGGTTCCCCTAATCCCTAAACCCTGAAGGGCTGGCTTGCGCACTTTGCTTTCTCTTTCGGGCTTAATTTGTGTGCTCAGGGGGCTTTCTTCTGCAATTAGGCGAGGCTTCGGGGCTCTCGGGGCTTCAAGACCCCTCAACCCCAAGCCCCCTCAACCCTAAAACCCTAAACCCCAAACCCTAAACCCTAAACCCTAAACTGCACATGCAGCTCACATGGGGCCTTGGAGCGCTGCTTTAGTGCTGGGGCTTTTTACGCGTTGCATGAATAGTATTATTACTTGGTAGCCCAGTTGTACCCTGTGTTTTTTGGTTATGGGTTCCCTCATTGATAAAATGGCCAACCCCAAAAGAAGGTGCCCTTCCTTTAATATGGTTACTGGGCTACCAAGATTATAAGCGCGTTAAGAATAATATGAACATGTCGGGCCGTTACTATGTTGTGTGAACAGCGTGAATAGATAGGCTTTCGAACGAAGGAGCGAAGTGAACACCCCAAAGCCGCCTTAAACCCTAAACCCTAAACCCTGAACCCTGAACCCTGAACCCTGAACCCTAAACCCTACACCCTAAACCCTACCTTAAAACCTACACCACTGCATGTTCTTTCGCTCGTTGCAACATTGTAGAAGGCTGGAGAGAGAGATTCGTGCCAATTCTCCTCACCTCAGAAATCAGCTCTTTGTGGCCTTGAGCCGTCCGTTGAGATGAAATGATTGATCGTAAACCTGAAGGAAAATATATGAACATATACATCTGGCCAAGTTGTGAAGCGACCGCCAAGTGGTAATGGATTGACAGAATTCTGCAAAACTGCTTCGTGATGCAGATTGCAGAGGGCTCGGCAACCTCCACTCCAGGTATTCGTCCAGCACAACCCCACATGCCAGATGGTGGTGAGCCAGGCGGTTGCCGTCATCCTGGACCGCATCCGCGGTGGCACGGGTGACGGCAACCAGGTGACTTGGGAGGATTGCCTTGAGGCACACGAAATCCGCAAGTTTTGGAAGAACCTGGAGGTTTGGAGGGCTGGGCCCTGAGACCCTAAGACTTGCGTTGGGGCCTCGCGTTAAAATAGGAAGTTTATTGTTCACAAAACCTCCTTGTAAGATTTTATACCCATTTTAAAGCGGTTTTGCGCCCAGAGCAAATCTACCCTATTGTTATCTTGACAGCTCGATGCATGTTTGCAGAAGCATGTTCTTTTACAGCCGCTTCGGAGACACTTAATGCATGTTAAGCTGTGGCGGGGCAAGACGACAGGTGGACTATGCCACTGAGGACCTCCTGGTTGCCTCGAGAGCCGGCGAGGGTGGCCTGGAACTTCTGGGCGGCTGCACCCTCGAGGCAAGCCCTTACGGGCTTTGTCTCAAGGAAGCCGGCTCTCAGGAGGCGCTGCGCTCGTGGAAGCGGCTGTCCGCTGCCAGACGTGGCTGCTATAGCGTCCTTGTCCCGTTGGACTTGGACGCAGCCACGTTCTGGGCGCTGGGCGGCTTCCAACCCCTTCCTTGGGGCTGGTATGCCCGGGCGAAATGCCCCGCGCGGCGACCGGACTTGGTCCGGAAGCTGCAAATCGCCGCCACCGCGGCGGGCGCTCCTTGCTCCGAGGCGCGCGGTAGGTGCATGTGCTCTGCTCTGCTCTGCTTGCGCTTGTATGTGTGTGTGTGTGTGTGTGCATGTGTGTGTTTGTGTGTGTGTGCTTGTGTGCGCTTGTGTGTGCTTGTTTGCGCTTGTGTGCGCTTGTGTGTGTGTGTGCTTGTGTGCGCTTGTGTGTGCTTGTTTGCGCTTGTGTGCGCTTGTGTGTGTGTGTGTGCTTGTGTGTGCTTGTGTGTGTGTGTGCTTGTGTGTGTGTGTGTGTGTGCTTGTGTGTGTGTGTGCTTGTTTGCGCTTGTGTGCGCTTGTGTGCGCTTGTGTGTGCTTGTGTGTGCTTGTGTGTGTGTGTGCTTGTGTGTGTGTGTGCTTGTGCTTGTGTGCGCTTGTGTGTGTGTGTGTGCTTGTGTGTGTGTGTGTGTGTGCTTGTTTGCGCTTGTGTGCGCTTGTGTGTGCTAGTGCGTGCTTGTGTGTGTGTGTGTGTGTGCGCTTGTGTGTGCTTGTGCTTGTGTGTGCTTTTGTGTGTGATTGGTTTGCAACTTTCGAGTGCATTCATGCATCAGTGTGTGTTTTCGGTTGGGCTTTCCCTCCTGGGCGCCCACCAACGGCGGGTAGCCGAGCCTCCGATTGGAGGTAAGTTCACCTGAAGCTTTTAGGATGTGACGGTCCGTGCGAGCCAAGGGGTTTCCTCCCGATTCCATCTCTCTTGGTTTTGATCCGATGTCTCTGAGAGACGGGTGTCGAGCTGATGAATGTTCCCGCCTGAGGTCGTGTTTTGTCAGGTGGTCAGGCGCACTATCCCCTCCCCTCTCGCCTCTCAAACTATCTTCAAAATCACACCCCCGCTGCCATGTCTTTGAATTTTCAGGTCAAGCCGATCCCTGGCTCAGCCCGGCCCGCTGAGCTATGCGAGCTAGCCCTTTCGAGGGCAGTGTGTGTGTGGAAACAGGTTTTTGCATCCTGGAAAGGCTTCACCGTCAAATCCGAGCAGGGGGGCAGAGGGGGTGTGGAGCTGGCTCTGCCCAACGAAGCTCCCCCCCCCCCCCACGCCCCAGGCAAACGTACCTGCCATGGCAGTGCCTGGACATCTGCGGATGTAGCTGGCATGCCGTAACAACAAAAGTCGGGCCCTTTTCGTTTTGACTAAACCAGGTTTTCCAGTCTTCAGGCCGGTTGCGACGTTTGTCGTGGTGTTCCACGAGGGATTCAAAAATCAGGTGTTAGGCAGTGAAGAGTGCGAGGGCATATGCGTCGGCCTGCACTTGCATGCGCTTGATGTGCTTGTGATTCTGCATTGTTGCATCAGTTCTGAGGGCATGTGCATCCGTCACGAGTGCATTTGCAAGTGCATTCATGCATCAGTGTGTGTGTGTGTGTGTGTGTGTGTGTGTGTGTGTGTCTGTGTGTGTGTGTGTGCGTGTGTGCGTGTGTGTGTGTGTGTGTGTGCGCGTGTGTGTGTGTGTGTGTGTGTGCGCGTGTGTGTGTGTGTGTGCGCTTGTGTGTGTGCTTTTGTGTGTGTGATTGGTTTCGGGGCCACAGGAAAACTAATGTGCGGTTCTGGGTGTGGGTGGGTGTGGGTGTGTGGGTGGGTGTGGGTGGGTGTGGGTGGGTGTGGGTGGGTGTGGGTGGGTGTGTGGGTGGGTGTGGTCGTGTGGCTACATGGGGGTGTGGGTGGCTGTGGCTGTGTGGGCGTGTGGCGTGCGACGTGTGGCTGTATAGGAGGGTGTGTGTGTGTGTGTGTGTGTGTGTGTGGCTGTGTGTGGCTGTGTGTGGCTGTGTGTGGCTGTGTGTGGCTGTGTGTGTGTGGGTGTGTGGGTGCGTGGGTGTGTGACTGTGCCAAGTTACCAGCGTGGTTGGGTTGACAGGCCTTGGTGGGGGAGAAGTGCGCTCGTAAAATCCTTAAAAAAGTCTGGCTACCAGACCTCCGGAGCTTCGTTTCGACGCGGGGCCTGTTGGGTGCAGGGTTTCCTAAAACCCAAACCCTGCTGACCCTTTCAACCTTTATGACCTACCAATTGCTTAAGAGCCCCCCAAGGAACAAAAATGTTCTTCCTTAGAAGGGTACTATAGGGATTAGCATTTTTTAGTGGGTCTTAAGCAAAGGTCGAGTCGACGTCTCCTAAGGTCGCCTCTGTAGGGTTTAGGGTTTAGGGTTTGGGGTTTAGGGTTTAGGGTTTAGGGGTTGGGGTTTGGGGTTTGGGGTTTGGGGTTTGGGGTTTGGGGTTTGGGGTTTGGGGTTTGGGGTTTGGGGTTTGGGGTTTTCCCAGCACTCTGAACCCTAAGACTCAACTGAGGAAAGCCCTAAACCCTACAAACCTTATAAACCCTATAAACCCTACACTAAACACACTATAAACCCTATGAACCCTATGAACCCAAACCCCCCAAAGCTCAACTGAGGAAGTGTGTGCGAGACTACTCCCTCGAGGATCGCAAGAAGCTGTTTCAGGGCAACGCCCGCCGGGTGTACAAGCTTTGAGTCGTAGGATACTTTACTGGGTGGGTTTAGGGTTTAGAGTTTAGGGCTTATAGGGTTTAGGGAACTTTTGACTATATTTACCCTGATGGAGTTTAAGAGGATTATAAGCTTTGGAGTCTGTTTTTCAGAGGGCTTAAAGGGCCAACCTGACTTCGGATCTAGTGTGGGGTGCTGGATGGCGGGGGTTTGGGATGTAAGGCTTCGGGTTTAGGCATCGTTGCGGTTGAGCTTCATGGGGTTCTACCTTGAACCCCTAAGGTTGTACCGTTGGGTTTGGGGACCCTTCTTAAAGACCCTCTAAGTGAATATCTGGGCCACATTCGGAGTAGATTAAGGGAAGCCTCTTACATGTATATCCTTTGCTGTCCAGTATTAATCCCTTCAGTCTGAAGTCTGACGACAGTGGCCACGCAAAGCCCACTTTGGACGGCGGCAGTTCTTCAAGTAAGGATGAACCGATGGGGCTAACAAAACTTGGACCTCTAGTTGTAGTTCGATGTTTTGGGTTTCTTTTTTTCATATCACAGAATCCCATACCCTAAACCCTACACCCTAAACCCATACAGCTATAGGTACCCAATGCAAGGAATTACACCCAGAGGTCCAGGGTGACCCATTGGGTCCATGCGCCGTGATTAATCGGGGGCACCTGCGCCTGGCATTCCCGGACTTGCTGCTCCATGTCGCGCGAAACAATCGGTTTAGGGCTGGGGGCAGTTTAGGGTTCAGGGTTGATCGCGAGCAAGCTGCAAAAATGCAGGTGCACAGTTGGCAAGAGTAGCTCTTTATCATCTTCGTTTCTAATGATAACATCAGCTACCCAGAAGACCCAAAGAAAACTAAACATGCCCCTTCAGGAAAGACCCCACTCAGACCCCAAACTCTAAGCCGTAAACCCCGAAAGCAACTTCAGGGACTGCCTGCGGTAGGTATGTAGCAGCAATGTGCGTGCAAGGGACCTATGCAATTGCTGCGAATCATAATATACCTGCGATATTCCAAAAGGTTCCCTTTGTGACCTTTGTGGGGTGCATGGAGTTTATAGGATCCTTAGCATGAATCAATTTATACGAGGGTTTACGAAACTAGGGGACCCCCAAAATAGACCCCCAAATAGTAGGATTCCTTTACAACAAGGACCCTTGTAAGGTACCCCAATTTCGGAACCCCCCCACCCCCCCCACATGTTCTTAAAATGACGGTATCTTCCTGAAGTAAGGTACACCCTAAACCCTAACCCTAAACCCTAAACCCTCCTTAATGAAGGAATTGGCGAGATCTCAAAGTTAGAATTGGGCACCCTAAATAAGAGCGGCCGCGTTATGGTAAGGACCCCAAAAGGCTTTAGAGAAGTGGCCGTGCCCCAAAACGGTTTAGGGTTTAGGGTTTAGGGTTTAGGGTTTAGGGTTTAGGGTTTAGGGTTTAGGGTTTAGGGTTTAGGGTTTAGGGTTTAGGGTTTAGGGCTGGACCAAGAGTAGGCGCCTTATTCCCGTTTTTAGGGTTTGGGTCCCCGTACAAGCCCCTCGAAGCCAAAAGGGCACCCTCTTGTCTATTCCTTAGCTTACTCTTGGGTCTCGACGAAGGTATATTCCCAAACCCTAAACCCTATTTTCTAAACGCTAAACCCTTGGAGAAGTCACCGTATATTCCTGTGTCAAGGGGATATGGGCTCTTTGGGTTTTCGTTGGTTGCAGCACGGGGGCTTCCAACGACTTCCTGGGCGCCCGTACTGGAAAACCTCGGGGTTCCAGAAGCCTAAACCCTAAACCCTAACCCCCAAACCCGAAACCCGAAACCCGAAACCCGAAACCCGAAACCCGAAACCCGAAACCCGAAACCCGAAACCCGAAACCCGAAACCCGAAACCCTTCCTTTTCTGGGTTGACATAGGATCTCTTTCATCAGAAACTTGGTGGCATGGAGTGGTTGAGCCGTGTTTTGAATGTAGGTGTCGCCGAACCATTGGTTCATGAGCGCGCTTGGTGAAAAGAAATCATGGGCAGGTTTAGGGTTTAGGTTGGGGTTTAGGGTTTAGGGTTTAGGGTTTAGGGTTTAGGGTTTAGGGTTTAGGGTTTAGGGTTTAGGGTTTAGGGTTTAGGGTTTAGGGTTTAGGGTTTAGGGTTTAGGGTGTAGGGTTTAGGGTTTAGGGTTCACGGTTCAGGGTTCAGGGTTCAGGGTTTGGGGTTTGGGGTTTAGGGGTTTAGGTTTGGGGCTCAGGGTTGGTGATAGAAAGGCTGGGCGGCATAGGTCTAAAGCCGTGTCAAGGCACTGACTGAAAGCCGACCTGAATCATTAGGGTCGAGGGTTTAGGGCTTGGGTTGAGGGTTTGGGGTTTAGAGTTTAGCGCGTGGGGTTTAGGGTTCAGGGTTATCCAGGCTATTCATAGGCTTGCCGACATGGAGTTGCAGGCAACTTGCACACCTACGAGCCTTAGCCACCCATGGGGTTTAGGGTTTATTGTTTAGGATTTAGGGTTTACTTGGAGGTTCGTGTGTACTTGCAAGTAGGGTGATAAGTAGGGTAACTACGGTGAACAACCTTATTAGGGCACTTAGAACCCCCCTAAACCCTAAACCCTAAGCTCTAAACCCTAAGCCCTTATTAGGTCGGTTCCCTGATACACCCACTTCTGCGCCCGAAAAGGTTAGCCTCAGGTTTCCCAGGATTGTTATACTTGGAGGTTCATGGGTACTTATAACCCCATTATACGTCTACTTCTAACCTACTTAGAGGACTTAGGGGATTCAGGGGGCTTATAGGTGCAGTTATGCTTGGGGTTTTTCAGTACCCTGAACCTCCAAGTAAGGTTTAGGCAAGGCTCCAGGGTTTTCGGGTCGCCCGTAACTTAGCACATCCGTGAGCCTTCTTTTGTTGCAGGATGTGGGGTTTTAAGGGTTTTAGGGTTTAGGGCCTAGGGGTTGCGAAAGCGGCCTCCCTAAAGTCTCCTGCCCACGCCAGGCTTCGCAACCCGTGCAGGGCGGGCTGAGCAATGTTGTAAAACTTGTCGCCTGGGCCTTAGCACTTGTCGGTTCAGGGTTCACGGTTCAGGGTTTGGCCGTGAGGTTGTGGTTTAGGGTTCAGGGTTTAGGGTTTGAGGTTTGGGGCTTGGGGTTTGGGTTTTTGGGTTTTGGGTTTAGAGCGTTGGGTGTGTCTTGGGGAGAGGGGCGGGGGGGACAACACGCGAAACCCAAGCACCGGACGCTACATTGTACGCGACATGGTCAGGCCGGTAAGGCTTGGTCCCTTGGGTTTAGGGTTTAGGGTTTAGGGTTTAGGGTTTAGGGTTTAGGGTTTAGGGTTTAGGGTTTAGGGACAACAACAGGGTTGCCCTCCACCCTGAGCACCATAAGCCCTAAAGGCCCCCAAGCCCAAACGGCCTTGTGAGATCCTTGTCCTGGAGTTCTGCGTAACTTGGGTGCCGCGCAGGAAGCCATACACCCTACTTGGAGGTATAAGTCTACTTATAACCTACTTGGAGGACTTAGGGGACTTAAGGGGTCATGTAAGTACAGTTATAATTGGTGTTATAAGTACCCTGAGCCTGAACCTCCAAGTAAGCCCTACACCCTAAACCCTAAGCCCGTTCTGGGGCATACAGGGTTTTAGGATTACAGGGTGTAAGGTTTAGGGTTTAGAGCTTAGGGTTTAGGGCGGTTTTGGGGGTTTGGGTTAAGGGGTTGTGGGTGGAGCTTCGGGTGTTCAGGTACAGCCTATTGCGGTATACCTCGGAACACCCTCAATCCCAAAGAACCTCGGGGTTTAGGGTTTAGGGTTGAGAACCCTAAACCCTAAACCCTGAACCCTAAACCCTAAACCCTAAACCCTAAACCCTTAGGGGGCCTTGGCTGTAAGCCCTGAAGCTGCCAAGCCCCCAATCCCAAACCGCGCGAGTGGCGCTCTAAAGGTTTACATACGATCTTGCTGGCCTTCTTGAAGGTTCATTACTAGGGTTTAGGGTTTAGGGTTTAGGGTTTAGGGTTTAGGGCTCTTGGGACAGTTTTTACATTCCCTTATTGGCTTCAATAGGATCCTATTTTTCGGGAATATTTTTTTCAGAGGGTTTTTCAGGGCAATCCTAGTTGAATCTTCTCGAAACAGGGTTACAACCAGCTACTTGTAGCCAGACTTGTAATATGTGCCCGAATGAACCTCCGAGCTGGCCTGTAGGGGCAGGCTGAACGTGTAGGGTGGAAGGTTTTAGGGTTTAGGGTTTAGGGAAAGCTGCTTGCTCGCTTGCAGGAGCGCGCTTCGGGGAAGCTGTTGCTAGGGCTTAGGGTTCTAAACCCTAAACCCTAAACCCTAACCCCTAAACCCCTAAACCCTAAACCCTAAACTCTAAACCCTAAACCCTAAACCCTAAACCCGAAACCCGAAACCCGAAACCCTAAACCCGAAACCCTAAACCCTTTGCAAACCCCTACTAAAAAGATCTGGGTAGTACAAGGAGGGTTGAGGATCTGACTCGCCTGAGCCGGGTTTGAGGTGAAGACCTTCCTCGAGGAGAGGCATTACCGCGAGCTCCACAGGACTTTTGGGTTTTTTTAGGGTTTTTTGGGTGTTTGTGTTAGTTTTTGTTTTTTTGTTAGGGGCTTTTTTGGGGTGGTTTTAGGGTTTTTAGGGTTCTGTTAGGGTTTGTTTCGGGGTTTTGGGGGGTTTTAGGGTTTTTTAGGGGTTCGGGGTTTAGCGGTACAGAGCCCTGAAGACCCTAAGTTCAAAAGGGTTTAGAGTTTAGAGAACTCACCTGGAGATTGCCGCAAAACCCTGAGGTCTTGATTCGAAGGTCATGAGTTTCAGTTTTTGCACGCCGGTTTTGGTGGTTGTCGATGACACCTGCCCTTCCACGGCGGCGAGTTGAGCTGGTTCATGACCTGGTCAGAAATCCTTAGACCCCCGAAACCGTCAAGCAAAAGCTTATCCTGAAGTGGAGCAACCCTAGAACCCCTGATCCCTAAACCCTAAACCCTAAACCCTAAACCCGAGACCCCAAGACTTGGTCGCCC